AGGCACATTAAGCGAAACAAAGCAGTCAGATAAATCAAACTTGATTAAACTCATTCTTCTTGCTTCCTCCACTTCTGTACCATTGATTCATTAATGTTGAATTCTCTGGCAGCTGCTCTATTCCCATGTTGTTGCAGTATATTAATGACTAACCTCGTATCGTGGATGGATCATCTCAGTTGTTATCCTGACTGAAGTTTGGTCCGTTTACAGCATCCTGCCATGCGATTGCATTTGTCTCTAACCATGAGGAACCTTCAAGTTAACTTTTATAAGTGGGAAAAGTGTTAGTGTTCGTCCTCCAGCTTCACTGTTTATGTTATGCTAACATTGCTGTGTCGCTAGCGATCACATAGCACATCATTGTATACCAGCTAGCCCAACTTCAGTAACCCTACAAACGTCACTGCTGTTTAGTTTCCTGTCTTCATTTATGTTGGAAGTGATAGCAGAGCTGTACGTTTGATTTTTTTTCAGAAATCTCTCAGTCAGAACATGCAATATCATGCTTAGGTAACTAGCGAAACTAGCGAGCTAACTTCCGCTAGCTTCCTGCTAGCTTCATCTCCGTTAAATGTAATAACTTTTGTTTTCATGGATGCCTGGAAGTTAAACTTTATAGTTACACCTGGTAAAGCAGCAATGCTGATCGTTTTATTAAAGATGAAAGAATTTAGAGAGTTTTTAACTCTCAGTGATGCTGCAGTGTTCGTTTGACCTGAAGAATACGGAGTTTAGGACCCAGATTACTCCCATCTTAGTCCGACAAATACGACAATAACGACGGCCGCTTGCATGTTCAGCAAAAATGTGCTTTGTTGTGTATCTGACGGACAAACACCAAACCAGTTCCACATCACGGAAGTTGCACCATTTTTACAAACCAATTCTGGTTCATCTGTTTCACTCAAAAATCGGCCATGTGCGTATGAAAACAAAGGCACTGCGCATGCGCGTTTTACTCCCAGTCTATCGCGATATTTCATTTTCCTATCGTTGCTTAACATTATACCGGTATAGAGATTGACAGACCACGTGACTTTCGCGCATTGCATGCCATGAACTCGTGACAAAACAATCCAAGTACCGCATCAAACGCAAGCATTTGCAGCTAGTGATGGGATTTCCGGCTCTTTTTAGAGATCCGGCTCTTTCGGTTCGGCTCACTAAAAAGAGCCGGCTCTTTCGGCTCCGAACCGGCTCTTCGGGTTGTTTTGTTGCTTTAATTAATTTATTATTAACAATAATATAAAATTATGCACAAAAGGAATTACTAACGTAAAAACAAGTGGTTTTATTTATATATGTTTATATATAAATATATGCGGTGGCCCCTAGAGACAAAACACGTACAAACTCCAAAACACATTTCTAGCATGAACTGAACTTCCAAAGCAGAGCTACTAGATCACTTAAATTACACAGGCACTCATATATATTCAAATAATTAAAAAAAAAAAAAAAGTTCATTTACCTGTTACTACCACACACCAAATCCGGTCGTTGGTACTTGCTGGCTTGTGTAGCCACAAGATAACAAAAGCTCAACACTGCGCCTAGCATCCTGGAGCACTTCTGTTGTGTTTTGTACGCGTTTTGGAGTTTTTACGCGCTTTGGAGTTTGTACGTGTTTTGGAGTTTGTACGTGCTTCAGATTTTGTATGTGTTTGGGAGTTTGTACGTGTTTTGGAGTTTGTATGTGCTTTTGTCTGTAGGGGCCAATGTAAATATACTTTTATTTATTCACTCCACATCAAATGTAATAAATATATTATAAAATACAGAAATCAACTATTCACATTTCAACTTTTAACTATTTAAATTTTCAGCTTTTTCCTTTTACAAATTTAAAGTGAAAACAACACAAAACACTGCAAGACATAACACAATTAAATATAAATTATAATATGAAAACAAAAAGAACATGCACATTCTCTGTCATATGGACCTGCATGAATAAACTTTCTGAATCCTTTATCACCTGCAACCGAAAATAGCTGTGGATGATTACTATACCTTTCTAATGTGACGTTGTTGTCCCTGGCTCTCTTTCTCTCTCTCTCCCTCTGGCTCTGATCCTGTGCTACTGAGTGTAACTACTGCCCCTCCCCCCTCTGCCCAGCGTAAAGCACAAGGCTGGCGTGCAGAGTGAAGCGGAAAAAAAGTGCGAGAGAGAGGGTGAGAGAAGAAAAAAAAATACAACCCACGTGACGGCTCGCGATAAGGAGCCGGCTCGCGTCGTTCACGTCAAAGAGTCGGCTCTAAGAGCCATTTCGTTCGCGAACGACCCATCACTATTTGCAGCACCGCAAAACGTTCATTCTTCGGTTCCAATAAATTCTTGCTTTTTCTTTGCCCCCCAAAAAGGTATGTACAAAACGAAGGAGAACAATGCCGGTCCGTACAAAGACAGACTTGATGAAAAGTCAAAGAAAAGATACGAGGAAAAAAATCAAACCAGTGAAAGGGTCAGACCCTTACGAGCACACAAAGGGACAAAAGACGTCAGCGTGCTGCCCAACTTTCACCACGCTCATATTTATAATTATACGCTTCTTGGAGTGAGTGCATACACTCATGAAGTTTAGTAACTTCAGGTCACTGCAACAAGCCCAGGTACAGTTTACCGACGGATGGGTACAGGACCTTGAAATGCACCGTGTAGAAAGAAAGACCATCGTACCTATCATAAGTTTACCAGTCTCACAAATCGTCGTCATAAATACACATTCGCTAACAGTTTATTAATAGGACCTTTTGAGCTCAACGGTAATTAATTAGTAGTGGAAATAATTTCTGGTACCCATCACAGAAATGTAGCAGTGACAATAATATTGTATGCTGTAATCGTACTGGTCAATTAGTGATACAAAACAACTGTTTTATCCTGTGAATAAAAGTATATGTTTTTGTCAATGTACCATGGTAATAACAGAAGCGAAACGCAATATTGTGTCAGGATAATTCACTATTTATGCACAATAAACAAAGGAGCATAGCGCGACAATTTCTGTTCAGCGCCAGACTTGCTTGTAACCTATATCACCAATTATGTTAAGAAAAATGACGCATTAACTACTACAGCAGACTGACCTGTGTGGAAATGCTTGGAGCAGACTAACCTGTGAGCTGGAGTGTTCTGGGACGTTATATTTTGTCTTTGAATGGCTGCAATCCAGGCCACTCTTTGTTACTTCGGAAACATGGCTCGAACAATTTCTCTTCAATGACGTAATCCGATAACAACCGATCTCTTTACCCGTCGGCTTCCCATGGCTGTCATGCGACCGGCTATTGCAGTTAATAATACAACAGCTTCTTACCATTTTTTGTGTTTCTTTTTATCGCTGTATAACTGATTTCAATTGAAAGCCTACGTGCGCTAGTACCTCTTGCCACGAGTTCCCAGAATTCTTTGCGGTTTTACCCCTGAGTGACGTCACATTTTCAATCTCTATTACCGTGAACGGTATAATATGGCCCAGCCCTAATTTGCAGATTGTTTCGGTGAAGTTTAATAAACTCCTTGCTAAAATATAACAGGACACCGGAGTAAATTCTGGAGCATCTCACACTTCTGATAATCAGCTGTCTGCTTGACGTTTATTCAGCTGTGTAAAAACTATAACTTTAATCTCAGCCAAACCGATTTACTCAGGAACAAATAAAACACTTTAAAAAAAAAAAAAAAAAAAAAAAGCCAAACAATAACATTTTTAAGTTATCTAAGTGACTTATATATGTTTAACCTGAGTAGCGAAAGACGGCGGTGGGTTTGAAGCCGGGAGTCCGGTGTTCTCACGGCTCTGGTGAGCCTTGCCCCCGGCTAGCTATCGAGCTAGTGGGTAACAAACGTCTCCGAAAACGCTTTTGCAAATATGTGGTGTCTTGATAAACTGAGCAGATATTTGAGGTTTACACAGCTACATTCCCTGAAAATATGTTAAACGTTTATTTTATGACCCAGAAAGAATAATAAGAGTAATATTAAAACTAACTAGCTGCTGCCATTGTTGGAAACTGAGCTGGGCTGCGCTATGAATTCGGGGTTTAACGGCAGCTGGCATCCTTGTACATGCAGTGCTGCCGTCTTCTGTCTCAGTCCGTTATTACACTCTTAAATCCTACTACTTATTCCTGCGTCTTTTGGGATCTTACAAAGCTTCAAACGACATCAGTTAAATCAGTCATCGACGATTTTAATAGTCAACGTAATCGTGACTAGTCGACTAATTGTGGCAGCCCTACTGTCAGCAGATGTAGGGCTGTGCGATATGACAAAAATGCCATATCCCAATATAAGACATTTATCGTTCTGACAACGATATAAATCACAAAAATGTAACATTTTCTGTAAATTCTGTGAATCTCGGGCAGCTCGACTTGCGTTTAGTTTTTCCAGCTGTGCGTCTTTTACCTGGATTTGAGTGTTTTAACCGATGCATGAAACGATACATTTTTAGACATAAGTTGTAACGGCCGCCGTTGTCTTTCAAAGTTTGAGTCCAAGGTTGATTATTTTATTTTATTTTTTTTTTTTAGCACATCAGGGTTTTTTTTTTTGCTTCTCCTCCGTAAACTCTCTGCATGCTCTTTCACGTGATTCAGTTTATATTGAAAAGTCTCAACGGGATCTTGAGCTTTATTGTGAAAGGTTTACGTGGAAAACAAAACAAGCGGACTGCGGAGCCACGTGATAGTTTTACCGTCATTGTTGCTAACGACAACATGTAAAAACAGGCGCTTGTCCGTCCGTAGTGTAGTTATATTAAATATAAGCGAAAGAGAGAACTTTAATAAAGCCGCTACCATCAAAACCATGAAAAAATATTGCGGTAAAGTTTATTTTCTGACTCCATGAAACAAACGATAGCGTAATAGGAAACGATAGACGTTTTTATATCCGATATATATCGTTATATCGAACAGCCCTAAGCAGACTCATCTGCCTCATCTGCTCCTTCAACCCAGGTGACCTTGTGTGTCTGCTTCCTGCACAGGTGACGGTGTCATGGCTGCCTTCTTCACCGACTTACCCTCCTAAACATCTCAGGAACATAACCATCGTAGAAACTGCCCGTCTGAGGAATCGAATCAAACGCACACAGTACAAGACGTGCGTGCATGCGAGGGATGACGACCTCCCATCTGAATGGCCATGTTGCTGGAGAGGGAGGAGGAGATGAAGAGGCGAGGGGAGGACAGCAGCACCGAGAAATGGCCGTGGACTGTCCGGGAGACCTGGGCAGCCGAACGCTGCCTCTGCGACGCTCCGCTCAGCTGGAGAGGATACGACAGCATCAGGTACGACACAGAGACACCTGCGTGGGTGGGGCCTTTATCGTCAGGTGTTCCGTTTGGGGCTGTGCATGTTTCACTGTGACAGGTTTTGTGTAACGACAGTGGGATGAAAGCACGCCTGAGCGAACCCTCGGAGGCTCAGGTTAGTTCCTGCAAACACATCTCTGATAATTTAGTGCAGGAAAGTTCACTAAGTGCATTGTGGGTAAACTTTCAGGCTGATTTGAGCGTGTGGGGGAGGTGTTGGCTCAGAATGAGCTGCAGCCAACACGAGGTTTAGTTTCCTCGAGTGGGCGTGGGATTGCTCCGGCTGATTTTTCAGTCCTGAGCATCGTCAGGTTTTACCTGATGTGGGTTTCATTTACATAACACACTCACGTGGGCTTTTAGCACAGAGCCAATCACAGCTCAGCGTGCACAGGTCGGTGCAGAGGACGCCATGTGTGCTCTGATGCATGAGGAATATGGAGGGCCTCCTGTGTAACTTCCTCTGCTCTGTGTTTGTGTGTCAGGAGGACCTTCGGCGTCGTAGAGAAGAGGAGGGTCGGCAGCTGGATCTGAACGCCTCACTCAGACTCAGGAACCTCTCCCAGAATCCCTACAGCGGGATCGACAACCCCACATTCCTGCAAGACACACCGCAGCTGCCAGCGCTCAGCAGCCAGCACACACACGCGCTGCTGGGTAACACACACACACAGCCGTTATTACTGTGCAGATCTGAGGGGTCAAAGGGTGAGGAGGTGGAAGTTAAAGAGATGCTGACAGCGTTGAAAAAGGAGGAAAGTGAACAAGAATGTCAGACGCCAGTCAGGGAGGGAATTCCTCAGGGAGGGAGTGAAGCACCCGACTTAATTAAGAGTTTGTTTGTTGGGCGGCAGCGCTGACACACACAGGAGGACACACTGTTCGTCTGAGGTCAGCTATGTGTGTGCTTGCTTTGAACATGTGTGCTCTGTCTCTGCAGAGTTGGAGGAGCTGCTGCTGTCGCTGAAGCAGGTCCGGGGCAGCCTGTCGGACCAGCAGAGTCACAATGACATCGAGTTGGTCCTCGCTCTGCTGAACAAGGTAATATTAGCGAGCGAGGCCTCGGCCCGCTGTGTAATTGTGGCTTCTTTGTGAGACTCTGCGGTCAAAGACTCGTCACTGCTGTCTGAGCTGCAGCTTTGTGGTCCCGGACACTTCGAGGCGGGGCTCTCTCCTGACCCAGGGCAACTTTTAGCTGCTGGGTCCGGTCCTGATGCGCGGTGAGAGACCCTCGGGCTGGTGGTGACTCTGCAGACGCTCTCACATGGTGCAGGTGTGCACTGACTGTGTTTGTGTGCTTTTCTGAGCAGCAAACAAACACAGACCTGGCAAACCGCACGTTTCAGTGCACGAAACCGGAAGAAGGAAAAGGCTCGCCGTCGCAGCGTCTGCCTCGGGTTGCACTGGCGTTTGAAAGCTGTCACTCAGCAGGGTGACACCTGCAGTGTGATTGGTTTCTAACAGAGCTTTAATCCAAAATCATCCTTCAGTGGGCCTGTAAAGTGGTCATCGTGACGCCGTCTGCCTGCCGCTCTGTTGCACTTAAAGCTGCAGAAACATGGAGACGTGAGGTTTTTAAAATCCGCTCAGAGCGTTAATCTTTGTCACAAAGCCGTGTGGACACATGTGGCTGTTTTCAGCCAGTCAGATGCATGAAAGAGCACATTCCTGCGATGCTTTGGAGTCAAAGTCGACCCTCCTGAGTCGTGCTTCAGAGCCTCGCTGCTGCCTGAAGCCATTCGCCCACATAGAGACGTCTGAGTGGTTTTTGCTCTGCTGAAGGTTTGTTTTATTTCTGCCACACGGATTAGTGCAGGACTTCCTGTGAGCTCATTAAAATAAACTGTACTGATCATTTGAGGAAACTCGCGCTCTGATTGGACTCATATTTCCTCACAGTCATGAGCTGAACCGAGGGTTTGTTTTCACAGCGTCACTCTGCAGCTACGCAGCAGTTTGAGCTGCGTTTAATGAGCAGAGCCACGCTGTCTCTGCTTCACAGGTTTTTATCTGAATCATTCTTTTCTCTTCTGGTGACATAAACTGACTTCCAGCATGAAGCAGACCTGATGCAGAGCAGCCTGTAGCTTTACTGTAGCGTCTGTTGTTACCTGTGCAAAATGTCTCACCTGTAGCTCAGGCGATAAACGAGCGTCTCTTTAAAAAGTGCTGATGTGTGGTGATGCAGCATTAATCTCATTATTATGATAAAGTTCATGTGGAAATCGACTGTTGCGAGCTCTGAGGATACAGAGGTCTTCCTCCAGAAGCTCGGCCATCTTTATGCTGACTCTGAGCCCTCGACTCGCCGTCCACCTGAGTGACCTGTCGGTGGGTTAACAGTCAGAGGTCAGCACTTCAGTCATAAAACTGGAGCTTTTGCTGAGTGTGAACTCGGTTTGTGAGGATTTAAATCAGCTTTTGACTCAGCGCAGCGTCGAGTGGGAATAAATGACAGCTCGGAGTCGCTGACGTCTTTGTTTTTCTCTCTGCAGTCGGACTTCCAGTCGGCGCTGAAGATCCACAATGCCGTGGCCAGCAGCATGCACCGACCGTCTCCGCCGTACCCCAACACGCAGCAGGCGCTTCCACTCGCCATGGAGGTAACACACCTGCGGTAATGGAGCAGAAAGTTTAGCTTCATCAGTCTGGATGTGAGCTAAACACTTAAAGCTGGTCTTTAATAGTCGATCCTTTGTTATTTCTCACCTCTTTGTGCTGCAGATCAAACTGAGTTAGTGGTTGTCTGTCCAAAGCTGCTGTGAAGGGGCAGCACAGCGGGGACACGTTCACTGTAGTATGTTTGTAGAGCTGCAGTAGGTCACACACTGTTTCCTGCAGGACCATTTTCAATTCACCAACATCGTTCATGATCTTTCTTTTCCTTTGCAGTCACACAGGTGATTGGTCAAAGCAACACCTGATCGATTCACCTGCAGTGAATCAATCAGGTGTTGCTTTGACCAAACTAACACAAACTCAGCTGAAACAACCCAGTTTAACCAAACTCAGCTAATCCAAACCTACAAAAATGTTGTATGTCGGACTCGTCCAGCTGCTCCACGATGTTCTGCCTGATGTCTGTGTCTCATCCACATTTGTCCTGGGATCAAACTTGTGTGGTTCCCTTTCCCACTGAGCCCACAGTCTTCCTGAGGGGCGGGGTCTGGTTCATCACACCGTCGGTCACTCTGGAGTTTTCTTGCATGCTGCGAAAGCGAGGCTAAGCTCGGTGCTGGGGTTTGCGCTCCTCGGGCCTCGTTTCAGAGGCAACTCATTAAAAGCAGCACACCATCCATGTTGGCGTCTCCGCCCCCGCCCTGCGTTTGGCTTCCAGAATCAAAGAGAAAAGAAGAGCTGGCGTGCACGCTGTCCTCACAAACATGCTGTTTCTTCATCAGGAACGAAGCAGAAACGTGCTGCAGCAGTGCAGGAGGACGGTTTCAGTGCAGCACACCGCTGTTCACGTCAGAGATCTGCCTTTGATCTTTAATACAACAGAAATATGAGCGTGAGAACCGATCTGTTAAAGTCCTTACTCACTGCTCGTGCACTTACCCAAAGTTTCCTCCTCTTCTTCTTCTGTTCTTCCTCACGTCACCCCAACGCTGATCAATCAGCTCTGTGTGTGTACTTACTGTACACACACAGAGCAGACGTGTAACAGCACCACAGCAAGGCCTCTATGAAGGAAAACACGGGTGTGTTTTTGTCTGTCCGTCCATTTTCTTATGGCTGGGTCGCGGGGGCAGCAGCCCAGACCTCCCTCTCCCCAGCCACCTCCTCCAGCTTGTCCTGGAGAACACCAAGGCGTTCCCAGGCCAGCCCAGTAATGTAATCTCTCCAGTGCGTCATGTCCCTGCCCCGGGCCACCATCCGGTGGGACACGCCCGGAACACCTCACCCAGGAGGCATCCTTGTCAGACGCCTGAACCACCTCAGCTGGCTCCTTTCAATGTGGAGGAGCAGCGGCTCTACTCTGAGCGCCTCCCAGATGGCCAAACTTCTCACCCTATCTCTAAGGGAGAGGCCGGCCACCCTTCGGAGGAAGCTCATTTCTGCCGCCTGTATCCACGATCTCGTCCTTTGGGTCACACCCACAGCTGGTGACCATAGGTAAGGGTAGGGACGTAGATCCACCAGTAAATTTAGAGCTTTTACACTCCGCTCTCTCTTCACCACGACGGACCGGTGCAGCGCCCGCATCCCTGCAGCCGCAGCACCAATATGTCTGTTTTTGTCATTAAACACGACCAAAGTTTCTAATAATGTAAAAAATACGGTTGGACATGTGACAGGAAGTGATCAGAGCGGGGGTGTCTGCTGCTGTTTCAGGTCAGGAACCTCCTGCAGGCGTGTCACAATAAAGAAGGCCTGGAGCTGCACAGCCTGCTCTCAGACACACATCTGCAGGTACACACACACCTACACTCGTTTCCATGTCCCCACAAAGATGTCTAAACATTTACAGTCACACACAGATTTCTCAGTGTGTGTGTGTGTGTGTGTGTGTGTGTGTGTGTGCGCAGTCGTTGCTTCTGACCCATGACAGCATAGCAGAGATGGAGATGCAGCTGGAGCCGCTGCCCGCCGAGGGCGAGATGCTGACGCAGTGGGGAGGAGAGACCGTGAAGATTGTTCGCATCGAGAAGGCCCGAGACATCCCTCTGGTACACACACACACACACGCACACACACGCACACACACACACGTTTGAGTCCAGATTTGACCCATTTTAATTACATGTGAAATCTGAGGGCTGGGAAACAGTCGAGCTCTGTTCAAAGCGACAACAACATCCTGGTGTTTGATGCCAGGACTCCGTGGCTGTGATGAAATGCATGGTTTGCTCTGCAGGGGGCGACGGTGCGGAATGAAATGGACAGCGTGGTGATCAGTCGGATCGTTCGCGGCGGCGCCGCTGAACGAAGCGGGCTTCTGTCTGAAGGAGACGAAATCCTGGAGATTAACGGCATCGAGATCCGAGGCAAAGACGTCAACCAGGTGTTTGACATCCTGGTGAGTGTTTCACGTACGAGCGCAGGTTGGACTCCGGCTGAGCGTCGTCTGTGAGCTCAGGCGCTTTCACGTCAGTGGTTGGAGATGATTTTGTGTCTTTGTGTCTAAACAGGCCGACATGCACGGCCTCCTGACCTTCGTGCTGATTCCCAGCAATCAGAGCAAACCTCCTCCCGTCAAAGAGAGTGTGGTGAGTGCTGCGATATGAGAGGAACGCCTCGTTCCCGACGCGCTGAAGTGATGAGGGTGGAAGCCTTCCTCTGACCCCATGACTCTGCTCCGCTCCTCAGGTCCACGTGAAGGCTCATTTCGACTACGACCCCTCGGACGACCCTACGTGCCGTGCAGAGAGCTCGGCTTGTCCTTCCAGAAGGGAGATATCCTGCACATCATCAGCCAGTCCGACCCCAACTGGTGGCAGGCGTACCGGGACGGAGACGAGGATAACCAGCCGCTCGCTGGCCTGGTTCCAGGTACGGCGGTCTGACGGCCGGAGGTTTTTTATCTTAAGGGTTTGAAGAATGCTGTACGGTGTGAGCGCGCTCAGAGCGTTTGATTTGGATAACAGAAAGCAGATTAGCAGCAACCTTTGACCTCCGTGACCTCTGTGATCACGTGACCGTTGGGACGGTTACTCGTGGCTTCCCTGTGCTGACTCCACACCAAACAGGAAGTGACATTTCACCTCGTGTGCAGTGCCACCTTCTTACCCCCCTCAGTCCTAAGGTCCAGCTGCCCTCAGAGGGCGTCAGTAAGCTCCGCCTTTGTTTCCAGTTGCCCGTGGCATCAGCAGAATTCCAGCTGATGTGCTTTTCCAGTTGTTCCTGGATGATCCCGGCCAGATGATGTCAGATCCTGGGGTCTCCCCCATCTGAGCGTGCTCAGAACTCCTGCAAAGGGAGAAATGCTGCGCTCGCGCAGAGGTGAGCGTGGGCTCACCTCTGTTTGTTTTCATACGTTGGACTGAAACATTTCCTCGTGTTTGGCGTGATCGTGTTTTCCCTGAGGTCAGCTGTTCAACATTTGGAGGAAAACTCGGTTTGTTCTCGTGTCAGCTGAGCAGCTCTCTGCTTCTGTCTCCACAGGGAAGAGTTTCCAGCAGCAGAGAGAAGCCATGAAGCAAACCATAGAAGAAGACGAGCCCGAGAAGTCCGGTCGGTCCCTGCTTCGCCCACGTTATGACCTCATTGCTGTAAAAACCCGTGTGGGGTTAGAGGTCATGTGACTCGTGCACTGAAGTGGTGTCTGTTTGCAGGGAAGCTCTGGTGTGGGAAGAAGAACAAGAGGAAGAGGAAGAAGCTGCTGTACAACCCTCACAGGAACGACGGTGCGTCAGTCTGTCCCTAAACTCTGACAGGCAGCGAGGAGGCGGAGCCTCAGCTCCTGCTCTACCCTCACTCAAACTCCAGATGTCTCTTTTTCTTGTCTTTTGCTCCAGATCTCGATAATGAAGAAATTCTCACCTATGAGGAGATGGCGCTGTACCACCAGCCGGCCAATAGGAAGCGGCCAATTGCTCTGATTGGTCCGAGCGGCTGTGGGCAGGAACAGCTCAGGCAGCGGCTGCTCAACAGTGAACCAGAGCGCTTCGCTGGAGCTGTGCCTCGTAAGGATGTGTGTGTGTGTGCGCGCGTGCGTGTGTGTGCGTGTGCGTGTGTGCGCGCGCGCGTGTGTGTGTGTGTGTGTGTGCGCGCGTGTGTGTGTGTCTGTGTGCGCGCGTGCGCGCGTGCGTGTGCGCGCGTGCGTGTGTGCGCGTGCGTGTGTGTGTGTGTGTGCGTGCGCGCGTGTGTGTGTGTGCGCGCGTGTGTGTGCGTGCGCGTGTGTGTATAAACTAACTCTGTGTGTGTGTGTGTGTGTGTGTGTGTGTCGTAGACACGACGCGGAGCCGTCGCGAGGGCGAGCAGAGCGGTCGGGACTATCACTTTGTTTCTCGGCAGACCTTCGAGGCTGAGCTGGCGGCTGGTGAGACGTTTAAATCTGAGAATATTCGTGAGGACGTCGTACAAATGTGCTCGATTTAAAGTTAGAAGTGTTTAAACGTCCTAAAGTGCAGCTGCATCAGAGGAGAGCAGGGTGACGAGCGTGTCCCAAACATGCTGAGGCAGAAATATGGCGCTCTGATGTAATACCAGTTTGTACCACAAGGTGGCGTCAGTGCTTTATTTAAACTGCAGCCTGTGAGGCTCAGGGTGTCTGGAGGTGTTTAACCTCCTGTTGGTGTGAAATGAGTTGTTTTTGTGTTTCAGGGAAGCTGATCGAGTCCGGAGAGTTCGAGAAGAATCTGTACGGGACGAGTACGGACTCAGTGAGACAGGTCATCAACACCGGGAAAATCTGCGTGCTGTGTCTGCACACACAGGTGTGTATGTGAACACACACAGGTGTGTATGTGAGCGCGCACACAGACATGTTTCTGCTGTATTGAACGGTCCTGCAGGGTGTAAACTGTAAGCAGAGCTGCATGCTTTGTGTTTGCTGTCAGACGATCAGGCTGGATTAATGTGGCAGGAGGCGGGGTCAGTGTGAGCGCTTTCATTGGAGGAAACGCTGATGTGTGGCCTGTGTGTGTTCTTACTAAAGCAGCAGTGAAGGGGCGAGTGGGGAGCTGCGATTGGTCCACCTGCTGCTTGTGTTTTTATGTTGGCTGGGACTTCAGCAGAATCTTAATAATTGCAGTCTGAAGATGATGATCAGCTGATCCACGTGCTGACTTCAGAGCTCTCAGGCCCACGTCATGCTGCCTCCACCTGTAGCACAGCTGCAGCACTGCTTTTATCTGCACTGGGTCTCAAACTGATTTTACTGGAGAGGCTGAAGCAGAGTTTAAATATGAGGAGCAGCTGATTCCAGCTGTGTTATTCTTATTGATCTCATCTTAAGATGAGGCCAGCTCCCAAACTGCGTCTGAAGAACACGAGCTGTGCTGCTTCAGTGTGAAATGTCACAGGTGTGTGTTTTCTGCTGAAAACTGAGTGATGAATGAGTGTGAGGTTAGTGCAGAGCCTGCAGACAGTCACATTTGCATGAAATAAACGGAGTCTAATCAGATGAAGTTCTTTGCAGCTTTCAGACTTTATTCAGAAAATCAGACACATGAATGTTTTCAGCATTTCAACAGAATTGAAATCATCAGCTTAACAGTTTGGAAACAAATCATGTTGGAGAAGCTTCCTGTGTTCTGTCACTCAGGATGTGGCTTCAGGGATGAAGCCACATCCTGCTGCTGCTGTCACTGTGAGACTCGTTTCTTTGCAGCCATGCTTGGGTCTGATGAAGGCTGCTTTTTTCTGGCTGCACTTTAAATACAGTTACCATTAAATACGTTCTGTTCTGGGAAACATCTGATACACTCAAAAGTATTGCCTGGTCTGTAACACCGGAATATATTCGCATAACCGATCTTTTCTGCAAGGGCTTTGAGAGAATTTTCTAACTGATCATCATTAAAAAAGGGAATACCCTGTTTATTAAGGGGTCTGTATGGTTGTGTAAACACCAGGGCATGCTGTGGCCAGTTTGTCATCGGTGTAATCAATTCCAAAATGTTTTCTAAAGGTTCGTTTGGGTTTGCACATCTGTGTGCACATGGAGAGAGGTATGTGTACAGAAGCAAAAAGCTCTTTTCGTATTTGTTGCTCCACGCATTCTTAATGTGTTCCAAAACGAGGCGTTCAGCGTGGATATACCCACTGGGCTTTTTTTATATAAATGTCTGTCCACATTGAGTTTTGGTCCATTCTATCCAGGGGGATGTTCACAGCAGCACAGAACTGCCCCAATTCTAAATTCCTGCCAAAGAAAGGACATTTCTAGTTTGTGAAGAAAACAGAATAATCCAGAGGTTACCTGTGAGGATACTCACCTGATTAAATTGATAATCTGAGGCAGCTTGTTCTCAATCCCTTGATCCAGACTGGTTCCAGCTGACAGCAGCAGGGCCAACACGGTCCAGGACAGGACACACCTCTGCACACCTGACATGATGTAAACTGCACACCTGCACAGGTCACATTGGTGTTGTTACAGCTCAGCACACAGTGATCTCTCTGCTAAAGCTTCCTCCACGCTGAGGGACAGAATCAGACTCACCTGATGAGCCGGAGTCGAAGCGTCTCACCTGTGGAGTGGGGTTGTCGTTTGGTGACTGAGGCTCAGTGTGGCGGCTCGAGGGTTTTATAACGGGCGCGCTGACGCGTCTCAGCGGCTCCTCTGTCCAAAAACCAGGTAACATGTAACTGTTTCTGAGTTACATTAACATTATCTCCTCTTCATGGAAATGAAAACAAACTGTCTCCAACTGTTCTCGGGAGGACTTTACAGGTGATAAAGTAGAAGGACTGGAGTTGGATGGTGCATCAGAGGACACTGAGTGAATGAGGCCGTTACTCTGCCATCTTTAACCTGCAGCTCTGACACAAATGCTTCCTCCAAACCACGCCGAGTAGTTCCTGATTCCAGCTGTGAGACACATCCCAACCTGAAGCCTGACCAAGTTCATGCATACAGGGTTGCAGCTCCGATAAATCACGTTTTTAAAGAGGAAGCTAAACACGAGGAACTCTGAAAATGAGAGACGATTAATGTGGCACTGTCACTAAAACCTTGGAATCATTCACGTCTTTGATTTTAAAGTCCTCTGAGTGTGTACTGAGGCAGAACGAGGTGGATGTGCCCAGGTTCAGTTTTATGCTTTCCACAATCCTTTGAGAGAGGACTGCGTCATGTTTTCTTTCAGCTTGTATATGAAGGTCAAAGTTCGAAGCAGTGTTTTCAGAAAGTAGTCTATCCCAAAGGTCTGCGCATCCAAACACAAGGACGATTCTGTGATAGCCTGGATGGAGCTGAGCCCTGAGAACATTGCAAATGTAATAAATTAGCACAAAGTGCATCAGTTTACCTGAAGTCCTGTGAATGCACCGTTGGACCTCACCATGCCGCTCAGAGTTGAGCTTCTGTGCTTCCATGATGAAGATCATTCTGCTTATCTGGGTTCCAATCACAGTGACAACAGTAACCATCGAAGCCCAGACCTGCCTCACCCGCCCACCTCCTCCAGCTCGTCCTGGGGTCACAGAGTCGTCCCCGGGCTGCTGTTAGATACAAGCTGTGTCCCAAAACGTCGGCTTCATCCTCCTCAGGACCCGGCCTTCGCGTTCTACGTGGGCCGGGTCCTTTGAAGACTGAGAAGGCCGGAAGTGCGACGCTGTGAAATTGGATGGTCGAGCCTTCTGATTAGCGTCACCTCTGTCTCGGTGGAGTCTGCTCCTTGCTGTCTAAAATATAACAGGACACTGGAGTAAACTCTCGACCGTCTCACACTTCTGATAATCAGCTGTCTACTTGACATTTATTCAGCTGTGTAAAAACTATAACTTTAATCTCAGCCAAACGGATTTACTCAGGAACAAATAAAACACTTAAAAAAAAAAGTCAAACAACAACATTTTTAAGTTATCTAAGTGACTTACAGTGGGGCAAAAAAGTATTTAGTCAGCCACCGATTGTGCAAGTTCCCCCACCTAAAATGATGACAGAGGTCAGTAATTTGCACCAGAGGTACACTTCAACTGTGAGAGACAGAATGTGAAAAAAAAATCCATAAATTCACATGGTAGGATTTGTAAAGAATTTATTCATAAATCAGGGTGGAAAATAAGTATTTGGTCACCTCAAACAAGGAAAATCTCTGGCTCTCACAGACCTGTAACGTCCTCTGTAAGAAGCTTTTCTGTCCCCCACTCGTTACCTGTATGAATGGCACCTGTTTGAACTCATCATCTGTATAATGATCATGAGAACGGTGAGCAAAGATCCCAGAACCACACGGGGGACCTGGTGAATGACCTGCAGAGAGCTGGGACCAAAGTAACAAAGGTCACCATCAGTAACACACTACAACGGCAGGGAATCAAATCCCGCAGTGCCAGACGTGTTCCGCTGCTGAAGCCAGTGCATGTCCAGGCCCGTCTGAAGTTTGCCAGAGAGCACATGGATGATACAGCAGAGGATTGGGAGAATGTCATGTGGTCAGATGAAACCAAAGTAGAACTTTTTGGTATAAACTCAACTCGTCGTGTTTGGAGGAAGAAGAATACTGAGTTGCATCCCAAGAACACCATACCTACTGTGAAGCATGGGGGTGGAAACATCATGCTATGGGGCTGTTTTTCTGCCAAGGGGACAGGACGACTGATCCGTGTTAAGGACAGAATGAATGGGGCCATGTATCGTGAGATTTTGAGCCAAAACCTCCTTCCATCAGTGAGAACTTTGAAGATGAAACGAGGCTGGGTCTTCCAACATGACAATGATCCAAAACACACCGCCCGGGCAACAAAGGAGTGGCTCCGTAAGAAGCATTTGAAAGTCCTGGAGTGGCCTAGCCAGTCTCCAGACCTCAACCCCATAGAAAATCTGTGGCGGGAGTTGAAAGTCCGTGTTGCTCGGCGACAGCCCCAAAACATCACTGCTCTCGAGAAGATCTGCATGGAGGAATGGGCCAAAATACCAGCTACTGTGTGTGCAAACCTGGTAAAGACCTATAGTAAACGTTTGACCTCTGTTAGTGCCAACAAAGGTTATGTTACAAAGTATTGAGTTGTATTTTTGTTATTGACCAAATACTTATTTTCCACCCTGATTTACGAATAAATTCTTTACAAATCCTACCATGTGGATTCATGGATTTTTTTTTTTCACATTCTGTCTCTCACAGTTGAAGTGTACCTCTGGTGCAAATTACTGACCTCTGTCATCATTTTAAGTGGGGGAACTTGCACAATCGGTGGCTGACTAAATACTTTTTGGCCCACTGTACTTCCTCTCCTCCACCTGGGTCAGCAGCTTGTCCCTGACCTGGAGTGGCCACTCCACCCTTTCCTGCTGAGGACAGTGGGCTGAGACTCGGAGGTGCTGATCCCCTCCTGATGCAGCCAACAGGACCACGTCTGCTTTGAAGGCTCAGCAGCAGCTCCAGCACTCAGAGGACAGGGGTTACGTTTCTGACTCTGCTGATTGAGATAAAGGCACAGACACAGGGAGAGTGTCAGACAGCTGCCTCGGAGGCTCTCCATGCAAATAACAGCTCATCATCATGTCCACTGATGATCCACGTTACACAAGCTGCACTCATCACAAACAGACCTCATTTGCACTGCGGTGCAGGTGATCCTGATAAACAGACACTGAAGTATGAATGTGAGCTGTTCAGATGCTGCAGGTCCTCAGAGCAGCTCAGCTTTGAGCCAGCGAGCTAATGGGAGCTCTGTGGAGGTGACCGGGTACACCTGCAGGAAGCCATGGTGTTCATACCTGGGAACACCTGTGCTGGAGAGCTTTCTCCACTGTTTGCTTGTTTATACATGACATAGAGTGTGTGTCTGTCTGTGTGTGTTTCCAGGCTCTGAAGGTGCTGAGGAGTTCAGACTTGAAGCCTTACATAATCTTCATAGCTCCGCCCTCCCAGGAACGACTTCGAGCTTTATTGGCTAAAGAAAACAAGAACCCCAAGGTGCTCGTCCGTTTACGTTTGCCCATCAGCTGTGTTTATGCATGTGTGTCTCAGTACTGACGTGTGTGTGTGTGTGTGTGTGTGTGTGTGTGTGTGTGTAGCCCGAGGAGCTGCGTGACATCATCGAGAAGGCGCGTGAGATGGAGCAGGGCTGCGGTCACCTGTTCGACTCCATCATCGTGAACACGGATCAGGACAAAGCTTTCACCGAGCTGCTGAGACTCATCAACAAGCTGGACACGGAGCCGCAGTGGGTGCCCTGCTCCTGGCTGCGCTGAACGAACACACACGCGCACACACACACACACACACGAACACACACACACACACTGAGCTAGGGGGTGGCGTCAGGACAGAAATCATCTGAGATTTTGAATCAAACTGGATCATAACTGTTCGTGTTTGTTATTAAGGGCAGAACGAGGCCTGCTGAGCAACAATAAAATCATAATCGACTAACGAGACGGAGTAACGTCACAACGAGCTCAAATTATTTCTGTTATCTTAGTGGGAACATGAACAATCTGGTCTCTGACCAATAAAAATGAGTCTCGGCATTAAGCTCCTCCTCCTCCCCGCAGCACCTCAGTGTCCCAGCAGGGGGCGGGCCTCACAGCCTGTAGTGTCGCTGCCGCTCGATTGGTTCACATTTCGGCGTGTTTCTGTCCTCGCTCGTGGTCACGTGCAGACGGAGTTGTTCACTCACATTTTTGGAGATGCAGAGCTCTGTGCCCCGCCCCACTGAGGCATTCTGGGATACCTGAGGGCGAGCAGGCTTGGAACAGCGAGTTTAAAATCCTTTTTTTTTTTTTTCCACGACACAAACGTAAACTTTTGACCTTTTGACCTTCTGCTCACTTTGTTCTCGTTTTTAAACGTTTTGCTGGAATATTTATTGTGTAAATTGACATTGATGTCGCTGCATTAAAAACTTTATCTTGGAAAGATTCTGAACGTCTTTCCAGCTTTATTCTGAAAGTCTCAGATGTTTGTTTCCTGTCGCTGACTCTGAATCAGTTTTTGAACACACTCTGACGTCAGACTGTTTCGGGATGTCGTGTTTTTCTTGGAGTCGTGTTCGTGTTGGACCTCGCCGCCATTGGCACCGCCTCGTCATCATTTCGTTTGTTTTTAATGTTTGTTTTTATTTGTTGTAAACACACCCACCTGTCCAGGTGAGACTCCTCAGGAGGAAATGTGAAGCTCAAACACTTTGGCTGCTGACTCCGCCCCTCGGCTGGGCTGAGAGCACAGACTTCCTGTCTGACTGACTTTTACTGCACTTATGATTGTTTTTGTATCAGCTGATACTGTTTGACCTTTGACCTGGCGGCCTGTGTGTGTGTGTGTGTGTGAGAGACTCTGAGCTGAAGTAGAGACTCTGTATCATCACTGTAGAGCTTTTATATATTTGTAATATTCAAAATAGATTTATGAATACCATAATGCACCAATAGGAGTGCAGCTTTCTCGCCCTCATCCCCTGCTATTGGTCCAGGAGGAAGAACAAGAGGGGGGCGGGGCTAGCTGTACTGAATGTAATTGATTCCACTTCCTGTTTCTCACTTCCTCCTGAGAGAAAACTTTTTGTATGAATATTCACCACAAAGACACGAATAATGAATAAAATAGATCATCAGTAGAAAATAAACCTGTTTGTTTTTATTCAAACTTTATTATTATAAAAACCACTGACATCACTTCCTCCTTTCAAACAGAGTCGTAGCTTCCTACCTGAAGCCACAGCGGCTCAGAGCTGCGTGTGTGTGGTGTGTGGGGGGGGGCAGAGGGCCCGAGCCGGCCCCTCTCAGCCGTACGGCACGTGGTCGCCGCTCAATGCTAAACCCGCACCTGTGTGAGACGTGCACACTCACAGCCATAAGTTCAGTCCCACAGCAGAGAAACTGAAAAGATTCGACCTGTAGCTTTTGCAGATGGAGCTCTCCTCGGTTTTTGATGGGTGATTACTGCAGAGGTGGACTGGATTTAATGATTTGACCTCAATAAACGACACTTTCAAAGTCACCTGGATAAATATTGACTCTGAGATGCAAACCCCTTCATGGAGTTTGATTCCACATTAGGAATTTTCATCTGTCTGTGATTTTCTTTTGCTCTGCAAATACAACAGTAACAAATTCCCCTAAAAAGATATTTTCATAAACAGCTGCTGCTGGTCTGTAAACATGACTGTGTTGCACACAAACGTTTGATGTGGAATAACAGCTCCATTCTTTATAAAAACAAATCCATTATTTCCAGAACTGGTGCAATAAAACTCTCGCAGTGCGCCAACTGTCTCATGAAGGAGGGTGCTGAATTCTGATGTGACTATAACGCTCCTGTTTTCTCTGTAAACAGGAAACCAGCTTCTTCCTGCTCAGGTCTGGATTTGGTAATCCTTGTTAGGATCACAGCGTCACGTTTAGTGTCTGATCATATTCACTCTCATCGTGTTGTTTGGTTCCACTGATACTGACCATCATTATTCTCACTTTTATGTCATAAACCTGTTGAATATGTTCATGAGTCCAAGATCTCCAGTCAGAAGTTCATGACATTTTCTCAATAATGGACAAGAAGAAGAAAAAAACCCTAAAAACGTTTCATTTATTTAAACATTTCAATATATTCTTGTGTGTTGGAGCGATTTGATGGTGTTCTTGTCAACCTGATGTTTTGTTGCACTTAATGGAAAAATAAATAAAAGTCAAACCTGAGTGTGTAACTGTAGGGGGCGCAGTCGAGCTCTGGTACTGACTGATCTGAGAGGTTTAATCAGAAGTCTGAATGACCCTTTGTAGCTCTCAGTCTGTAAAGTTCATATTTAGCTTCGTACATCTGCTCTCTGCCAGTGTGCTGGCGCTCACACCACACACATTATTAAATCCGTTATCAGGGAGCACGTTTACCCTGTAAAGGTCTGAATGCAGTAAACTGTTAGCTTCCTGTAGTAGTATTAGGAGTATCAGTAGTTACAGGTGTGAGTGTTGCAGTAACTCAAGTTTGTTTCTCATCTTTTCCAGATCACGTCCTCAAAGTTAAACTTGGTGTTTGTTTTATCCAATAAGATAAAATGATCTCAAACACACGTTCGTAAACCCGCCGTACATGTCTGCAGTCAGACTGCGCGCGCACACACGCTGTAGTATGTCTGCATTTGTCATTACACAGCATTTCATTACTCCTTCGTTAACTTGAGTGAATGTGAGGACAGCAACACTCACAGTTTGATGTAAACACGGTGACGCTGTGATCTCAGAGTAATCACTTACATAATCCTTCCTCCGCTGTGCTGTGAAGCTCTCAGCCGAGCAGGGAGATTCAGATTGTGTGGATTTATACTGCTTCATTAAATTAAACATCAGATTAAACATCAAGTTCCCTCCATAAACCAGTGAGGTCCTTTAAAAGCATCGCTCACATATTCTGTTCAGTGATTTAGAGAATAAAAGCTCAGAGTCACTGGGTTTCATAAAGAGGAAGCTGAACATGTGAAGCTCTCCTTCAGAATAAAAGACACGTGCAGCAGGCTGGATGCTGAGCTTTATTGAAAGAACACAGGGGTCACAAACACCTTACAGTCAGGCAGTCACATGATTCATGAACGCCATCATTGAGTTACAGTCTGCTTTCACAGAGACTTCTGGACATCTTCAGACAGTAAATGAGGTGGAGGGTCTGGGGGTGTGAGTGAGGTGCAGCTGTCTGAAAACACACGCTTCATCGATATAGTGTGATGTCATCTGTGATCCTGCACAAAGCTTCCTTAATGGTGACTGACAGATGTCAGTGCTGAGGTTCGCAGGACTCACCTGAGACCAGGTGACACCAGACTGTCAATGAAGAGAGTCAGTGTGGACCTCAGACTCAGCCTCTGTTTCCCTGGGTGTTTGTCCCACTGCTTCCTGCCTGTGGAGGCTGAGGGCTGTTAGTAATGCAGAACTCTGAAGCGCTGAAACGTTCATCGCAGCTGTGACACTCTGAGAATTGCTCGGTCCATCACAGCGAAAGATGTATTTGAGACCACCCATCGAACACCCAACCTCATAGAGTGAGTGTATGATGATCTCTCTTGTACTGCGCTCAGACTTTGGTTGATCAAAAACTCTTGTAAACACAAAGGCTCCATCTGTCCAATAGCAAACGTCACTTTCAATCAGTTCTAGGATGTTATATTCTCTCTTTCTGTCTGTGCATGTGCGACATGGGGAGAGATAATAATAATAATAATGGATTGGATTTATATAGCGCTTTTCTAGGCACCCAAAGCGCTTTACAATACCACTATTTATTCACTCTCACATTCTTATACTGGTGGAGGCAGCTACAGTTGTAGCCACAGCTGCCCTGGGGCAGACTGACAGAAGCGAGGCTGCCATATCGCGCCATCGGCCCCTCTGGCCAACACCAGTAGGCAAGTAGGGTAAAGTGTCTTGCCCAAGGACACAACGGCCAGGACAGAGAGCCCAGGGATCAAACCGGCGACCTTCCGGTTACAGATGCGATTCCCAACCCCCTGAGCCACGGTCGCCCGATAAGAGTAGATGAGGAGGAAGTTATTCTTTGTATATTTTCATAGACTGCTCAACTTTTGCAGAACTAAACGTTCTGCATGATCAGGTTTTATGGGCACAGAGAAAATCATCCTCGTCCCTTCGTACACTTTATCCTCGTAAACACTCTTTTTTAACATCCTCAGGCTTGTCGCCTTCAAGGACTTTATAAAGTGTGTTTGGGTCCTGTTGTTGTGGGATGGTTACAGCCAGAGTGTAATGCTTGTCTTGTATATGGTATCTGCCAAAGGGAAAGAAAACAAACATCTCAGATGATTTCAGACAGAGTGTGGGTATATTAATAAATCTGTTCTCTGTGACATTTACAGTTAATTCAGTACTTCAGTCTGAATTTAGACATGTTTATCGAGCTCGTTAGGGTTGGACATTTACCACTTTGATCTAAGTTAAACTGTAGCAAAATCACTTTATTCTATTTATGTATTTAAGAGTCAGTGAACATTATGTAGCACTTCATCATGTAGAAGTCGCTCTTTGGTGAGGAAAGAGCCTGACTCTAGAAATAGCTGGGCTCATCTCAACACACATCTCAGGCTCTGGAACCAGTCTCCTGAAAGGAATACTTTGTGGACCTCCTTAATCCCAATGACGCGTCTTCTTCAGAGGACCCAGAGTTCGGGGATGAGGGGGACAGCTCGACCATCACTGAGGACGAGGTCAGTAAGGCAGTTAAGAATCTCCTTGGTGGCAGCACCACCTGTGGATGTGATAGGGCTGTCTTGGCTGACACATCTCTACTGCATATCTGAGGCAGGGCCTCTGGATTGGCAGACCAGGGTGGTGGTTCCCATCTTCAAGAAGGTAGACCGGAGGGTGTCCTTCAACTATTGGGGATCACACTCCTCAGCTTCCCCAGGAAGGTCTACACCAAGGTGCCAGAGAGGAGAGTTCGTCCGTTAGTCGAACTCAGAGAGGGGAGGAGCAACGCAGTGTTTGTCCTAAGATAAGATAAGATAAGATAAGATAAGATAGAACTTTATTAATCCCTCGGGTGGGTTCCTCTGGGAAATTCGACTTCCAAAAAAGCACAGCAACGACCGAAGTTACAGTTACAGAACTGTTATATATATATATATATATATATATATATATATATATATATACACACACACACACACACACACACACACACACACACACACACACATATAAATACAGAGACAAATATAAATAAAATATACAAAGGGGATAAATAGAATAAATAGGAATAAAAATAAAAATACAAGTGAAATGCACATTTCAAGTATTGAGTCTATTGCACTGTTGACTATTTACAAAAAGTATTGCACAAGGTATTGTACAGTGAGGTGAAGAGGCACTACAGCTTAGTTGTTCCCCCTCCTTTGTCCTCCTGTTTCCCCTCCCTCTCCCCTCCAGGGAGGAGTTAAACAGTCTGATGGCGTGTGGGACAAAGGAGTTTTTAAGTCTGTTAGTTCTTGTCTTTGGGAGAAGCAACCTGTCACTGAACAGACTCTTCTGGTTGTTAATGGCCGTGTGCAGAGGATGCCCAGCATTGTTCATAATGTCCATCAGTTTCTTTAATGTCCTTTTCTCTGCCACTGTCACCAGAGTGTCCAGCTTCATGCCGACCACAGAGCTAGCCTTCCTGATCAGTTTCTCCAGCCTGGATGAGTCCTTCTTTGCTGTGCTGCTCCCCCAGCACACCACAGCATAGAAAAGTACTCCAGCAACCACCGACTGGTAAAACATCCTCAGGAGCTTCCTGCAGATGTTAAAAGACCTCAGCCTCCTGAGGAAGTACAGTCGGCTTTGGGCTTTTTTATACAGGTGCTCTGTGTTGCATGACCAGTCCAGTTTATTGTCCACCCACAGCCCGAGGTACTTGTACTTGTTGACCACCTCCACCTCCTCCCCCTCTATCTGAACCGGCAGTGGACCTTCTCTGGACCTCCCGAAGTCCACAACCAGTTCCTTAGTCTTTGAGGTGTTGAGTTGCAGGTGGTTTGTGTGACTCCATGCGACAAAGTTCCTCACCAGACTTCTGTACTCCTCTTCCTGATCATCCCAGATACACCCCATGATGGCCGTGTCATGTGCAAACTTCTGAATGTGGCATAATTCAGAGTTGTAGCAGAAGTCAGAGGTGTACAGGGTGAAGAGAAGAGGGGACAGCACAGTTCCCTGTGGTGCTCCTGTGCTGCTGACCACTGTGTCAGACGTGATGTCCTTCAGCCTGACGTACTGTGGTCTGTCGGTGAGGTAGTCGGAGATCCAAGCCACCAGGCAGGGGTCCACCTCCGTCCTGTTCAGTTTTTCCTGAAGCATACAGGGCCGGATGGTATTAAAGGCACTGGAAAAGTCAAGAAACAGTATCCTGACCGTGCCTTTTCCCCCATCCAGGTGTGAGTGGGCTCTGTGTAGGAGGTACAGGATGGCATCCTCCACTCCGACACCCGCCTTGTATGCAAACTGTAGTGGGTCCTGGGCATGTTGTACCTGTGGTCGGAGGAGGTTGAGGAAGAGCCGCTCTAGAGTCTTCATAAGATGTGACGTCAGTGCCACCGGTCGGAAGTCATTCAGCTCATTGGGCCGGTTCTTTTTGGGGACCGGGACGATGCAGGATGTCTTCCATAGGGCGGGCACTCTCCCCAGTCGCAGACTGAGGTTGAAGACTCGTTGTAGCGGCTCCCCAAGTTCAGCAGCACTGAACCAACTCTTTACCCTCTCCAGGACACTTGAGCTTGTGGGAGAGTTTGCTCAACCAGTCTACATGTGCTTTAGGGATTTGGTGAAGGCAGAGGAGAAATCTAGAAAATTTACTCACCTAGTTTTGATGGCTTTGACAACTTCAGTCAGCCAGTTCACATCCACAGCCAGACTGGTTCCAGCTGCCAGCAGGACATAAAGCATGAAGCAGGGCATCAACTTCATCTGCACCGTTGAAAACAACACATTTTATTTACATTTATGATCCGCTTTAATGCAATAAATCAGTGCACGCCATAAACAGCTGACCAGAGTCAGAGTCTGTCAGTTCAGGATGTTCCAGATGTTGCAGCAGCAGAGAAGAACGTGGACGGAAAGAGACGCCTGCAGGAACATCTGGACCAGATGACCAAACTAGCAGCTGAAGAGGAGCTTTGTGATGCTGAGCGCTTCAGTGATGTTATTGAATTTGATGTTCAGGAAGATGTGAAATACTGTGGGCAGCTGTGGGAGGGCAGTCCACCCATGGCTGCTCCTAATCCAGCTTACAGTGAGAGCCTCCAAGAAGTGAAGAACACCATCCTCTCTAAAGCTTCAAAGTCTCCTGGGATCACTCTCTCACAGCTCAGAACCAAAATTCGGGACCTGTGGAACGCCCTCCTCAGTTTCAAGAACACACCTGAAGTTGTATTGTACAGAAAACTGGAGGCCCTGGCGAGAAAGCAGACCTGGATCCTGATAAGAAGCATGAAGACCACTGAAAACCAGCTTTTTAACACAACTGAGAATGGAACGCTCTACGAGGCAGCAGTAAGTTATCTTTATAAAGAAAATAAACTGAAGATATGAAATATTTACAAATTCTTCATCTAACATAAAATTTGAATTTTCCTTATTTTTCTTTTGTTTGGGATCAGCACGGAGGAGCCAGAGGATTCAATGAATCAGAAGAAATTCCTGGACATAAAGAAGACCTTCAGCACAAAGACACTGCTGCAGCAACTGCAGAGATTCAACAACATTTAGAAAAACAAGATAATATTCCAGTAAATATCGCCATCACAGGAGAATCTGGTTCTGGTAAATCCAGCTTTGTTAATTCCTTCAGAGGTGTGAGTGATGATGAGGAGGGAGCTGCTCCTACTGGTGTGAAACAAACCACCTCAGAGGTCACACTGTACCCCCATCCCAACTATTCCAATGTTACTTTGTGGGATCTTCCTGGATTCGGCAGCACCAAGTTTCCAGCTAAGAAGTACCTGAAGCTTCTTGGATTTGAGAAGTTTGACTTCTTCATCATCTCAGACACTCGCTTCACAGAAAATGACGTGAAACTCGCTCAGGAGATTCAGAGGATGAAGAAAAAGTTCTGCTTTGTTCGATCAAAGATCGACAACGATATAAATGCTGAGAGGAGAAAGAGAGACTTCAGTGCTGAGAGGACTCTTAAAGTAATCAGAGACGACTGCGTTCACAGTGAGTGTCTGATCACAGCTGAGTGAGATCTGGATTCACTTTTTAAACATATCCTAGTTTTAAATTATTTATTCTTTGTCTTGGTTCCCGGGTCAGTGACACAGTGTTTTGAGTTTGTATGAGTTCCTCTTGTATTTCTGGATTTATGTGTTCTGCATTGTTTAGTCTGCCTGCTTGGTATTATTTCCTAGTGCTCCCTTGTTCAGGTATCCAAGCTTCTAGTTTCCTGTCGTGGGTGTTTGTTCCCTTTGTGGTCGTGGTCTCCTCAGGTGTGTCCTTGTGTCTCCGTGTTCCCTCTCTTGTCTTGTTAGTACGTCTCTAGTCCTACTCTTTGTTTCTCCCTTTCCTGTTCCCATGTTCTTCTCTCTGTGTTTCATCCTTTGTCTACCCAGTCTGTCATGTGTCTCCATGTCTGTTCATTCCCAGTCCCAGTGTCAAGCTCACATGTCTTTGTCAGAGTCGGTGTGTTATTTCCTGTTTTATTTTGACAGTCTCATGTGTGTGCCCTCATGTGTGTTTACTTCCTGTATCATCAGTTAACTACTGTAGTTACTATTTCTCCCACTGTTCTTTGTCATGTTGTCATCATATCTGCTCCAGCTGTGAGCTCTGTTTGGAGAGTTCCCTGATTAATATTCTTCGGTTTCTGCTGTAGTTTATCTTGTGACCTGTAAATCCAGCATCAAAGCTTCTCTTGAGTCCTGCATATTGGATCCACGACACTTCCTTCCACACAGGATCCTATGATATTATTTTATAAATCTAACCATGTCAACATGTTTCTCTATCACACAGGTCTACAAGACATCGAGTCTCCACGGGTCTTCCTGGTCTCGAGTTTTAAGCAGCACTGGTGTGATTTCTCTCTTTTACAAGAGACCTTAGAGACAATGGCGTGTCCAGCGGGGTGACCTGGGGGGGCACAGGCCACCCCCCAAACCAGACTGGCCACCCCAGGTGCCACCCCAAAGGCAAAACAATAAAATTCAATCAAATATCAAATGTCCGATTATGTTTTCACGGTGACGCTCAGATATCCGAGTGTAAGTGAATGCAGCATCGCTTCTGCGCTATGCGCATCACGTTAGCAAAGGTAGGAGAGCCAAGCGCGAAAGACGGCACTGCAGGAAACAATTTTTCGGTGAAAGAAAATGAGGACAGAATAAATGTCCCGGTAAGTAATATTAAGTTTGTTGAGTTTAGTAAACTTCGGTGAAATTAGAATACCAAGGAAAAAATAACACTTAAAGAATTATTGCAGCTGTGGAATATTTCAGACAGTATGCTACTGAGGGCAGCTAACATAAGAGTTATGAGTTATAAGATGTAATCTAAGTCATAACATTGCTGTATGGAGCTGCAGATTTGGTTGCAGGTTAACATAGCTGGACTGGCCATCGGGCATACCGGGCATATCCCCAGTGACTTATTTTTTATTTTTTTTTGTAATGGCATGAACAATGACAGGTGGTGGATTGGCCAGATGCAGGTCGATGTGTAGAAATAACTCAGTTGTTTGGTGGTGGCTATGACGGGGCTTCCACAGAGGCAACAGGTGGATGAGGGAAGGGGAGGCAGGAGGAGAGACCCGAAGCAGCCGCCAGTCCGAGTGTCAGGTGAACTGAACTTCAGGTAAGAAGTTATGACCTGCAGTCTATCTGGGTCAGATATGAACCAAGTTTAGGTGGAGTTTATTTTCATGTTGCTGACTTTTTACTGTCAGTTGCAATAACTCATACTGCGTTCTAGCCAGTTTGACGGAGTTTCTATACAGCTGGGTGGGTGCTATGATGTTACTGATAGTGAACTTTATTTTATTCATAAGGTTAGCAGAGTTGCCAACGGCTCCTTAAAAAATGGAATGGTCCCTCATTCAGAGAAAATATTACGCGTTTCGTATTGAGCTGAGAAGAGACGCAGTTTGTCCCGGACTTTAGCTAGAATGGAAAAAAGACACAAAGCTGGATTTATTCTGTCTTTATGCTGCACAGCTGCCTCTTCTCTCATTCTCTCCCCCTCCCTCTCCTGTTGCTACTTCAATCATGAAACTGATCAATGATCAGCTGATCAGCTTTTCTCTCTTGTTTATTTATCGCCCACTTTGCGCCAGAAAGAGGAAACCAGCAGATATTGCGCTAAACAACAGCAGCACGTTTAAGCTTGATCAGCTGTTGTTAGAATGTATTTAATATTAATTTCTAGTATCAGCTGATGTTTGCTGGAGCCACAGCTGTAAAGCTGCTGGTCATGATGTCTGTTTAGATATGTGGTGAGAGGGAAACATGAAGATGAAACCAGGAAATGTCCTTACTGAACCATCAGAGCTGAACAGGTGATGGAGAAACAGGTTCACCTTTTAGGTGACATGAATGAGTTGAAGTTATGAACTGTTTCTGAGAGATAAATAACACCAGGATCCTTTTTTATGTAGCTGACAGCTGGTAACTGTGCAGGGGCGGGTCTAGCAAAGTTTTGCCAGGGGGCCAGGTAGGGCATTAACAGGTAAAGGGGGGCACAAAGAAATACTTTTCTTTCTTATTCTCATTTAAAATGTCTCGTTTTTATTAAATAATTATCTAAATCTTACAACCAAAGTTTTTATCTGACGTAAAATGTATAGAAATCATACATATACCAACAAGACTGTACATCCCTGTCACAACAGCATTTGTTTTCAGTCAAAGTCTTTATGGCTTTAATACCTGGTGGGCCGGTCTGTAGTAAAAATGCCCAATTCTTTTGTCCCAGTCCAGCCCTGCAGGTTATACTGGCAGTGTCACCATGCCAGCTGACTGTATTTCATCATCAGCCAGTGTTGTTCTTGATCAATATTACCAAAGTTTACCATAAGGCAGCATAGAAAGTATTTACTTGCTTTCAGGTTTTATTCAAATGTTAGTCTTTTCATTTGTTTCCCCACTTTTTTCCTGTTTCAAAATCAAACACCAGTTTGTGAGAAGATTATCTTCTTTTTTTAACAGGCAGATAAAGTTTTGCATTGGCTAATTTGTCAATTGTTTGTTACAAATGTTCGTATTTTAATTTTCAAAAATGTTTTTGCCCAAAACATATGTGCACTATATGTCAGTAAAAATACTATGCAAATATTGCTGTCCTTGAATGCTGAGTAAGCACTGACAAAGCACTGATTGTATCTCTTGTACTTTATCAACGCAGTATCTAAAAACTTTGCACCGTAGTGGTTAAAATCTCATTCTAATAAGAGTTAAAAGTGCATTTGGTTATTAGGTTTATAGGATTATTGAATTATGGTTAAGGGTTGGTAGAATGTTTTTTTAAACATTATCTGCCAATTAAATCTGCCACCCTTCTCCAAATCTGTGCCCCTACCTGGCCCCCCAACAAAAATTTTCTAGACACGCCACTGCTTAGAGAGAGAACTTCCTATGAAGAAGAGAGATGCTCTGCTGTTTGTCATGCTCAACATCAACCCAGAGACCATCATCAAGAAGAAAAAAGCTTTTCAGTCCAAAATAACATACTGGGCCACTCTGTCTGCAGTTGGAGCACCTGTTCAACTTCCTGGTCTCTCTGTTAAAGTTGATGCTGCTGTGCTGGTTGGTGCAGTCACAGATTTTGTTCATGCATTTGGTCTCAATATCCTGTCTTTGAAGAGACTGTCTGCCAGAACAGGTGTGCCCTACGCTGATTTGTGTGCCGTCATCATTTCACCACTGGCTGCAGCAAAAATAACTATAGAGCTCCTCATGAAGGTGATGACCCAACTTGTAGGAGTTGTTAAATTGATTGCAGCAGAGGAAGTATCCAGATTGACTTTAACAGCTGGAATCCCAGCAGCAATGCGTCTCTCTTTCACCATAACCTACACAATTCTGAATGCTATCATAAGCTCGCTGATGATGCTCACAGGGTGTTTGCAAAGAGTCTGGGTCTATAAAAATAAAAGGCAATGAAACTGATCAGTGTGTCCGAGGCCTCAGCAGGTCTCATTTCCTCTGATCACAGCAGAAACAACAGTAACTTCTCCCAGCTTCACATACCGAAAGCTTCCTCTTCCTCACATCAATACAGGAACAAATGTGATCTCAGATATAAACTGTGGCAACATTATAAACTTTGTAAAATGTAGAAGAGCTGCTGAATAGTGTTGTTTTTTCTATTTTTTGTGTAATGAGTTTAAACAGTTTTTGATGTGGCGTCTCTCATCAAAAATTACATTTTCTCTGATTTAATAAAATGATGAAACAGATTTTTTTGAATCTCCCAGCAAAATAAATTATTTTAATGCAGAGTGTTTGATGTCATGTGATAAGAAGACGTGTGTAGAAAAGAAACTGCTCTGTGGCGTTTGTTCGCTGTTGACTGTAGAGTGTGATCAGAGTTCACTGCCCTCCAGTGGTCACAGTGAGGAACTACAACACAAACGATCCCTATGAACAATGTTTATTTGTCTAGTACAGGGGTCTCAAACTCGCGGCCCGAGGGCCATTTGCAGCCCACGTCACCTCTACTTGCGGCCCGCAAGAAATTTTTTTTTTTTTAATTATTACACGAAAAATGATTTAATACAAGGGCAGAGTGTTACAGGTGTGGCCCTTTAAGACTGTAGCCTCATGGGCGCTGCAGGGAGAACGTGTGGGACCGCCCCTCCCGCTGTGTGAGCGAGGGAGGGAGAAAAAAGTTAAGTAGAAAAGTACGAGCTGTCTCGGAGCAGAAACGGGAGCTGGAAGCATGTAAATATAATAATAACCACTGCAGCCAAACAGAGTGCCTGACATATGCTGACAAGCCCAGTTGTAAGTAAGCTATTAAGACTCGACTGTACACCGTGTTCGTGTTTTCCTCTGAAACAATAAGTTCGGTTGCAGCAGTCTTTCAACGCCTCTCTCTGTCTCTCGCTAGCAAAGTCGACCCAGACAACAAAGTAAAGCTAGTTTTCAGCTACGAGCCGACACGAACCCGACGTATTCGCCAGAGGTCCCTTTAGTATGGTTCGGAGCCGCGGACCTGGCCGAGGTAAGCATGTTGAGGGGTTGGCTGTGTTAGTTCAGTGACAGATTTATTTGGAAAGAAAACAATTTTCACTTGCAGTCGAAAACTAATGTGCACACTTATGCCTGCATTTTTATTTTGTTATATACAAACAAAATTGTAGCAAAAGTGCTTCCACGTGTTTGGCCAGAAAGAGCTGTTTATTTGGTAGTTCAGTGAAACTACTGTACTATACTGCTGAGTGACTGTCTTCTGCTCGTCAGATACATTTCATTGCAATGTTGACCCTGCGCTAACTTACATATGACAAAAATGAAAATGAAAGGCTTCAGATAGTTAAGAGTGAGAAAAAAATTGCGTTCATGTTTCCAATTGTGTCTTGTTACACAAGATTTGGAATTAAATAAAACAAAACACTACATTTTAGGAAATATTAGACGGTGTTTTCGTGTTTGTACTACTTGGACACTAAAGTGGTCCTCCAATGAGATGACGGTGCCAGAAGTGGCCCGAGGCTCATTTGAGTTTGAGACCCCCGGTCTGGTATTAATAAAATGTATTTTAGCGTATTTCATAATATCCTCCTAAACTTGGGGGGGATAAGTAAACCTGGTGAATCACTGAACTCTCAGCTTCATTAAAATGGATCATTATGGGTAAATGTAATATAGAGGTCCCCATTTACTCCATAACGCAATAATTTATTTGGTACATGTATACAGATCTATAATTATAATCTGAAACTAAACTGAGCGACCTTCAGTAAGTTGTTCTAAAAAATGAACCTACCGTCATTTTACAGTCATTGGAAATATGAGTCTTGGTTTTCCTGCAGAACATTTCAGGCTGAGCAGCCAATCCCAGTCAGAGAGAAGTGGCTGTGACAGAAACACAGCAGAGAGGACAGAAGGTCAGAGCTCTGAATTCAAGGAGCAAA